AGAGGATATCCAACCAAAAACTTGAGATACATCAATCTTCTAAGGGATTATTCAAAAGCCTGTTTTTCTACAATTCGGAAGGAAGTTTCCTGTAGCGTTAGTAAGATGAATTCTTCGCCTGATTTTCTAGCCTAAACTTCAGCATAATGCAGATACCTTACATCGCTTTTGCTAGCTTTTCTACCGTAATCAACAAATCGCCAACCTTTGCTGTGCAATTATTCGGCTTCATTGCCAGAGCGAGCCAGAAGAGCGGCGGCAAACGAATCCTTACAGAGACCATTGGCGTTCCAGCACTCAACAGTTGAGAATGAATGTGAACCAGAGGACTGCATCTGAGCTGTAGGCTGATTGGGACCTGTATGGAGCTAGGCTTTAAAGAGTAAGCCAAAATAAGTGGTGCTGCTACCTTTTTTGTATAAATCACAGCTTCTCTTACCGACCAAGCTACTGACAAAACTTTTAAAAATGATGCACGAAGCGATATCTTCATCACAACAAGTAGAGAAATTGGCATAGATTTTCAGTACTCTATTCACACATGAAGAAGTAGCTTGGCCATATTATTTAGAACATGCAACTGGGATTTTATTACAGTGAAGAAGTTATTGAATCAGCGCCTATACTTGCACAGACTAGCTTTAGGCAAATAAGCGCCTAAAAACGATTTCCCACTATCATCTATTACCTCCTGGAATGAAGAGTCCCATTGAAATGGCCAAGGGACAACGAGGATATGGGAAACGTGGGTTTCGAACATCGTATTAAAGCCTTCTGGTGAAATCGACCCACGAATCTCTTTATAATACACTTTCATATGAAATGTAAATCTTCACAAGATGTAAGAAGCTTACGACAATTCACTATAGGAACCGCCTCTCACATCTCGACACTTTGACATCATCGGCCTTTTTAGCCAACTTATGACTTTTTGCTTCACTTCAAGTTCTAACTGCAGTTAACAATGAATTTTTGTCTCAATTATGGCATGAATTCACTCAAAAGTGGTGAGTCACTCTTCGCAGAAAGAAAACAAGTGCAGAGATTGGAGTACATCTTTTAAACAAGAAGGTACCAAGATTGTTTAAATCAACATATCTCTCCCCCCCTCATTTTCAGCCGATTCCTCATTAATGCTCATGTTTGAAATTTTCTCCAGAAAGTTTCAGCATATAATTTATTTAAAAATTAAAACTCTTCATAATTCTCATATTATACATTATGCAAAAAGAAAAAGGGAAGCCTGGATAAAGGGATAAAATCCCTATTCTTTCCTATTCCCAAAACTTGGGCTACATATTATTAACTGAATTACACCTTCGGGATCCTCATGTCTATGTTCTATGTCCTATTGGTTGGAGCTGCGATTAGCACAGATTAGGCATTCTTGAGTGTACTTATTCTTCGATTGGCCTATCCCAATGCCAACCAATGGACAATGTCCATCTTCCTCCGGATGTCACACAAAAGAAAGTAGATAAAAGTAAGCGATTGTTAATTTACCAATCCTTCTACTTATGAAGGCCTATTTATATTTTGGCCTATTCATATTAATCAGACAAATAGAAGAGCTTACTCTCGGTTGGTAGCAAATCGGCAATGGAATATTAAAAAAAAGAGCAAAGCTAAAGAACACTAATGAAAAGTGATGGAAAAGATGAATACCGCTTCATACTTTCAGTAAAACAGTGGTAAATAAAGGGGAAATCCTTTTCTCTATTTGTAAAAATGACACATTTGATCAAGATTTGGATATGACATAATAAATGAATTTAGTTTCAATTTAAAAGTTTCCCTTCTAACGACAATTTTGATTTTAAAACGTAAATGTTCGGAACAGTGTGGGAAGTTAGGATACATTTGCATTTCAACTCTGCTGGAGAGATACTCCAACGTGCATCAGTTTATAGGTCTATTTTGTTTTTTTTTGGTTTTATAATTTTATTTAGTCATTATAGACTAATAAGTCATTTAGATCAATTTTAATTAAGTTAATCTAGGTGAGATGATTTATTTCAAGCTTTTCTATTTAAATGAATCGAAGGCCTTATTTTAGCTTGATTATACCAATCCAAACCAAAATATGTTCATGAGGATATTTTCAGAGTAGACTAGCTTCAACTTGTATAATGCTGGACTAATGGAAAGTCTCTCCTCGAAGAATTAAAGCTGATGCTCGATTTTTCCAATGGGTTTAACTTTACCAAGCCTTCCAAAAGGCAGCACCCATCCATACTGGAATGCAATACCGGATACAATCCAGGCAAGGTGAAAACTTTACTCCGGGCTCAACTTTTGAAAGGCCATTTTGGATGATTATCAAAGTCAACTTCCGCGCACAAATCTGGCATTCTCCTTAACATTGTCATGGGCAGAATCTCTATCAGCCAAATAAGATGCAAGCTGAAAATGGTATGACAAGATGACAGCAAACCTGATGATATATGTGATACGAAAAATTTCGCTGAGGGGACTTTAATTTCTTATGAAAGTGCATGATCGTGGGTCGATCTAACCAGAATAGAATCCCGTTGTACTGTAGCCGTTTGGCTTTTATACGACGTTAAGGTTGACGTAGTTCACTTGACCTCCTTCCTCGTTTCGGGTGAAAATGGGCTGAGCTTTCGTCCATCATTCGATGGACATCATCAGAGCTGGGTCTCATTCCTCTAAAAGTGTCACGTTAACACTAGGCCAAGAAGAATATCCTGCTCTATCTTACCTTTTATACAGACTCAATCAAGCAAAATAAAATTGAAAACCTTGATAGATATAGAGTGGTTTGGCTAATTATCTTTCATACTGATCCTGCTACTTTTGCTCGAGTGTGTGTGTGTGTGCGTTAGAGTCTACCTGAACTTCATATCAAAGCCAAACGGCTGCAGTACAACGCGATTCATCCGTCCTCTTCTGGTGAAATCTACCTACGAACCTTTTCTTCATGCACTTTCATACGAAATTAAGGTATCCCCAACAATGTCATCTCAGGAGATTAATCGAAACCCAGTATCTCTTCTTATCTACGACAAGCAAAGGCGATGAAATGATTGTACACTGCTTAAGATTTTCATTGTCGACAGTTGGCCACAAAGGACCTAACTTTCCTCCAGAATGGGGCACATTTACACTATAATCAGTTCATTTTAAGCGAAAGGAGATAGGATCTTGTGTGACAAGAGTCACCACGTTGGTAATCGTAAGTCTAGTAAGGGAAAATTTTGGCCCATGTTATTTAATAAGCATCCTGTGGGTTTAACTTTGCAAAAATATTTTAATTTATTATGCTACGATATTTTATTTTAAATTTGCTTGTAAATAACATTTTGTAGTTAAACTTACCCAGTAATTTTAAAATAGCTTAATGATAACCAATTGAATTCATTTATCCACATTTTCATGCCCCATATCAACATTACTTTACCAGATACACTAGTAGAAATATATTTGTTTAAATC